TGAACCCATTTATCAGTGGCAGATAAAACCAAACAAAGCAGAGGAGTCGCAGCTTCGAACTCGCTGCCCTTTGGCTGCTGTGTGATCCGTTTTCCTCTCTGACGCTCTTTACCCCTCACTGTCTGTTTTGTCATCTGCCCAATCAGTGTTTCTTGATTGTAATAATCAACAAGTTGAATTGTAAAAACACTCACCTCACTCAGAGGAGAAATGAGTTAAATAGCAAATAGTGAAGCCACAGCAAATCTGTTCTTAGTTGTAAATTATTTCCATCTCATTGTCTTGAATGCTAATGAAGCAATCAACCAAAACATTTTTTAAAGCTTTGTGCCTTCTGTAAGTAAAAAAAAAAACTACTTTTTTTTGTTAATGCACTAATCCTGAAAAACACATTTAGGTAGGTAAAGAACTGAAATAATGTTTGATTCACATCTGTAATCAATTAAAATCAAACTGCAGCGCTCAGATAAACTGCACCAGGAGCTCCTACTGTAGCACCAGGGTTAAGACAGAGCTTCAGGAGACTCATCGAGAGATGGATGGAGCTTGTACAGGGAGATGAGCGTATTCTGTTGAGAAGTGTGAAGATGCACTGTCACACACTTATTACTTTTCTGGTGGTGGTGTCAAATGAGGCAATTTCATTTTGCTCCTCTTCCTGAGAGTTTCTCACCAGCTCGTCTTTGACTTTGACTCCTACTGCAGACTCTCATTCTCTCTATGGTTTTGCTCCTACACACTGTTCTAATCGATGTAAAGTAATAATTGAATGTTTTGGTTTAGTCATGGTTGATTATTGTGGATAGTTTTTTTTAGACCTACTAATGAGGATGAAGTAGAAAAAGAGCAAAAAGCCAAGTCAAACATCTTAAATTCAGTAGTTTTTACCAGTTTGTATTTCTAACAGATGAAGACATGCGTCACCTTGTGAATGTCCCTCTTCCTCTTTTCCTTTTATCTGGTATTTTACTCATGACTCATCCACAGTTTTTCACATCTGAACACACTTTTAGATACACACATGAAAACATGACATGGCTTCCTGCTGCCAAGGTTTTGTGCCCATGTAATTGGAAGAGAGGAATCACATGAGCTTTGTGCCCCAGGCCATGGCCTGCTGGCTCGGTCTGATGCCCCTGTTTCTTCTCAAACATCCACAATCTGTCCTTTGCGAAGGGGTTTGAAGTGTCCGTTTTTTTACCTTTGACCTACAGTAGCTTTGGACCGACACACGTCAGGCCATTCTTAGTTGCTCTTTTAAGCTGGCAAAAACATTATTTACTTGACTCCCATGGGCCCAGAGCCTGGGAAGTTTCCAGCACAGCTAAGTAGCAATAAAGGGATTTAGAGGCAAGTTTCTTTAGTATAAACAGTTCAGAGATGTAAGATTTGAGTCTTATAGACTCTAGTTACTTTATCAGCTTTAGTTACTTCTCCTACCTGTAGTTCCTTTTAGTTACCTTTCATAACTTTATCTTACTTGTTTATGCATATTACAGCTGTATTGATGATTGTCCAGAACTACTGAGCTTTGGTTATTTTAATGCATTTGTTTCCCTTGCTTATATATCCTACAGCTGTAATGAAGCAGAA